TATAACTCAGCAACATATTGATACAAGCAGTGTTGGTGAATCATGTTACATGCTTATATATTTTAGGAAACACCATCAGGCAGTAATAATTAGATAATTTTAGAAAATGAGTCCATGATAGAAAATGATGAATTATTTTTTATTATTTGATAGAAATATTGATGAGATCTTACTTGTGATCAAGGTCACCCCTACAAAATGTACGTTTGTTTGCATAATTATTAGTCTAGATATTTATTAAATTGAATGTAAAAATATCATCTAAATATATCTGTATGAACTTAAAGGCCCTGTGTAAAGATGCTTATTGTTCAATCATCCAAATATTATTTTTCATGGCATAAAGACATTTATCATTACTCTTCATACTTGCGAGATATCATCATCTTGTTCAGATATTAGGTTTGAGAGAAATAATCTCTCAAGGTTTTTTATTCTTGTTTCAAATCCTCAGAAATCTAAATGACAGAACATTTGCACTTTTATGGGAAGAAAAATTATGAATAATCCGAAAAATAGATCAATATACCATGGGTCCATGACTTTGCTGGATAGAAGTTATAAACTGTTTGGAAAGTTTGCAACTGCACTGGAGTAATCTCCTTATCTCATATAAACTATGGTTGGTGGATATTAACAGTTAGTAGATGACAATTTACTGCCAATCAAAATAAATGTGAGATAGCAAGATGAGCAGCTACCCATATTAGCTTAAAGTCTAGTACCCAGCCCCAGGAATATATGGTTTGTTGGTGTTTGGTCAAGGAAAATGAATTGAGGGTTGAGTGTTTTTTGGGGCTGTGCTCTATCTTGTAAGCTTACTGTCAAGTATACAATCACATGCAAAGTCAGTTGGGTGATTTGCCCATATAAGTGAGGTTAGGATATTTTCTGACTGTGCTTGGGACTGCTTACTTGCTCTACTTATAATTTCTTTGAATATAAACGTATGTTTTACTTCCAAGCTTTATTAATTGGTCGACCTATAAAGGTAACAGAAGACAAGTTTTGTTTCAATTTGATTCAAAAATGTTGCTATTTTTGATTAACTCTAAACCTCACAAATATTTGATGCAATCGTTATTCCTATATATGAAACTCAGTTTTTGATTCACCTGTCGAAGGCACGACTACAGATGTAGTATTCCTACAAAATATCTTATATTTTCTGTATCATGAATTGGACAATATTATACTACCCTTGCAACTTCTTAAACCCAACTAGAAATCTGCTAATTTGTTATTGATTCTTTTTGCTTTGACTATTTGTCGACATTATTTTTCATTACTTGATAGTTCTTGTTCTAGAAACGTAAAATAATTGTTATGTTTGCTGGAAATCAACGCTGGATTGGTGGTTGGAAATTTGTTGATAATGTTGAGCGTTTTAATCAGTTTTACCTTATTGATTCATATATTCTTGCTTACAGCTATAAAACGATATTAATAGAGTCTTTTACAAATATACAAAATGTGGTTTTTGTTAGAATGGTATGGAAATATGATTTATTGAATGCAGTCAAGGTTTTGACAAAGTCATGTTGTATTAAATTGTAAGTTTGAATTAAACGTGCAAGAATGATTTTGCGATGTTAGATGGAAACACATGTGAAAATAATGAGTAATACCTATTGTTTTAATGCTTTGGACATTATTATTACATTGATCAAACAAAGGAATATGATGAAAGATACATTGCCTTATTAAATCCACTATGAATTTGAATGGTAAGTCTTTTATTTTTCTTATCTTGAATTAAGTTAAGGTTGTAGTTTGAGGAGAATCTAAACATCTAAAACAATATAAAGTATACAGTGGTCTCCACAGCAATTAAGTGAGTACATGTAGGAGCTACACCTACCTACTAATAACCATTTAAACATCTATAAGGATATTTTAACCAGTTTTAGCAAGAATTTTGAAAATTAGAAAGTACCTACATGTAGTTAGAAACTCTGTAATAAGTTTGATCTTTTATCTTTATATTTAGAACTAATATTTCAAAGTTTTTCAATGTTGCCCTCCTTCGGGTATTCATGCAAGACTAATAGAAATTTTTTAGTAATCCAATAGTTAAATTAAGTTCTTCCAAAATGCCATTTCTTTTAATCTGAACTCTGATCATGATTAAGTACCCTAATTCTTTGCTAATATTTCACATGTCATGTCATTAAAGGTGATAGGTAGAGAAAGGCACAGGCATTTATTCCTGCCTCTTTACCAGGTCATGGTGCCCATATCAATTTGTCCCCACTATAAAGAAACATAGAAATCTGTGATAAAGGAGAACTTAAACATTCATCCATCTTGTGGGATATATACAGATCTTGTGTTAACTACATATTTGAATAAGTGCGTGATTTGTTCTGAATGCGCATTTTATTTCTCAGGTTTAAATTTCTCAGGAGTTTTACATTTATTGTTTTGAATTTTAAGTTTATAAGGATCGAACAATTCTATTTTCTCGTGAAATATGTCGTATCTAGTTTATTTTTGTGCATTGATTTGGAAATTTATAAAGTTGCAGTTCAAGAGGTTATTTATACAAATATACACTTAACTTGCAAACTATTCAAGATTATGAAAATATTATTGCAAACAGATATATATTGCATGTTTAAGGATCCCCTTGGCTTCTTCATAGTTGCTAAAGCAACACTAGTATCATCATCTTCAGTTGCCATGGTTACAACTGCACCATCAGGGATGTAGCTCCTGTTTCTAGGGAAGGTGATATATTGAGAAACATGTATTATGTTGGCTGATATTTAATACAACTTTTGAAAATACTGTACTGATACACAGTCTGACACACAGCCACAAGATATGGCTCAAAATTAACCAGTGCTTCATTGGAAAGTGTTTGAAACGTCAATAATACTGATTCAAAATCCACCTATTTTTGATTCTTTTTATTACATGTTTTGTTGCAGTGATTTGAGTTTCACTTTTATACTGTAATCAAAAAAGCAGGGACTTCCCGAAAGGGACTATTATCGTAGATCTATAAACTGGATGCACAGTTTGATATTTTCTAACATTTTTATTGTTATGTACACATGCTTATCATGTAGAAAATCTCGACCCTGATAGTGCCTCTATTTTTGGAAGGAACCATGGTGTAAGTTATCTATACATAGAGGTTTAGTGATAAGACCAGGTATATCTATGAGTAAGCAGGAGACAGTAATAGATCACTACAGGATCTTTTTTGCAGAAAAAGCTATTGCAAACAAATTTTAACCAAAATTATAGGGAGATGATGAGATCCATAGATTTTACTGTATCTGCCAATGTGCGTTTGAAAGGAGGAATTTAATTCATTAATTCTCAACATTTTATTAAACTTCTTAAAAACTATTTGCATTTGCACTTTTTCAACAGTTTTAAATCTTCCTGTACTCTCAATACTAATTTACCTGTCAGCATCTGACAACCTACTCATCCATAATGTCAATTTGATCTTAGTTTTCTGAGAAACTATCGGAAACTAAGTTGACATTTTGTAAATTCTAGAAACATTCCCTGTATCCTGGAGGAAATATATGTGTCAGATTATAGATGATAAAACTATTGTAAGATGTTCCTGGAGTTTGTACTTTACAACGACTTTGCTTCCTATACTAAAGAATGTTGAATCAAGTTGCAGAGCCCCAGCTCCCCCCACCCCCTTAGCTACTTATATCTAGAGGGGTGAGGTATATAAAGCTAATGGGTATTGTCACAAGTATGTTAAGCAAGAAGGCGCAGTATGTTAGATCTCGGAGGGAAGGGTGCTAACCATTTTCATAAGCAAATTCTGACCTGATATTATCATTATCACAAAGCAATAATGTAATTAGAATGGGGTTAATAATCTATTACAACTCATTGCCATACATAACATACAAGTGCGTACTACAATTTATAGTATAACACATTTGTATTGCAATCTATTACAACACATTGCCATACATAACATACAAGTGTGTACTACAATTTATAGTATAACACATTTGTATTGCAATCTATTACAACTCATTGCCATACATAACATACAAGTGTGTACTACAATTTATAGTATAACACATTTGTATTACGTAGTGTTATGAGTAACTCCAAATGTAAATGTCAAGAGGTTGCGATCTTTTCTACAGAATATTGTACTTTCAAAAAACCTGTCGAATATTTGGCTCAAATCATATTATATTGACTTTTAGTTATATGAACATAAAATTTTTTCAAGGCATTTGTGTTGTTATGTCATTTACAATGTTGCCCTTTGTGCTTTCCCATGATATATGCTGGGAGGAAAGTATTAAACGTGAAGATTTGGGAAATTCTGCCATGAATTTCTATATTAAAAACACAGTTGTAGTTTCCATTTCCATATTGTAACTCTGTAATAATTCACTTTTGGCATGGTAATGATATGACTTTATTAACTGCAACCGTGTTGCCAAATCATATGATTTATTGGTGTGAATTAATTCATTAGTGAAACATAAGAGCTACCATTGGTGTTTCATGTTAAAATAACATACTTTATTGTATATACATCTGAATTAGGAAATATATTTCCATTTTAATTGGATCAATATTTGTTTTCTATGAAACTGCATTTGATTTACAGTTCAGTAAAAGGTATCCATTTTTATGAATGGAATGCGATGTCTGGGAATCTATTTTCTTCCAGTGTAAATATTTGAATATTGGAACAAGAAGCTGTTCTGTGTAGTGTTATGAGAACCAACTAAAAATACATCATTCACGTTCTTTGAGATTGCAGTTTGATAGACCAGGCTTGCGCACAGCCTCAGAAAATTCATCAATTTAACATCAATGTATTTTAAATTGCATATATATTTTGGTGTTAGTAAGTTTCATCTGCTACCTGAACGTGACAATTTGCTACTTTGCTACTTATGGTTGCCAAAAGCAGATATGTAACAAGCGATATGTTAATTTAAGTAGGTTTTACTAAATAATGTACTCATAGATTTTTTCTTTTGTATTTTCAGAACTTATTGGTTCTAACAAAAAGTTGAACATCAATTATCAAGATGAAGATGGGTAAGTGCACTAGAGGGGGGCAAGTGGGGGTCAATATATTTTCAGGAGGGTGAAACCTTATTTGCAAATCTCAAACGGGTGCAGAGGCCACTTGCTTCAGTGTTGATTATTTGATTGATGACATTTCATGTTTTTGTATGGTATAATAATTCTAGCAAGATATATGTAATAAACTTATACCAGGATTGGAACTCTCAGGATAAAGAAGTGTTGTAAAATTTGGAGTTTACCATTTTGATGATATATTAGGATGTTTTGACTATGGAATCTCATGTTGTGTTTATTATGTCACCACCAAAAGTGGTGACATATTGTTATGGTCTCCGTTTTTTATGTCACCACCAAAAGTGGTGACATATTCTTATGGTCTCCGTTTTTTTATGTCACCACCAAAAGTGGTGACATATTGTTATGGTCTCCGTTTTTTTGCGACTGCGGTTGGCGTCCGGCGCTTGGCGTCTGTGACAATTTCTTACAACTTCCTATAACTTAACAAATACTGTTTAGACTGACTTCAATTTTTTTCTAAATCATCTACATGTTCTCAGAAGTTCAAATCTGACTTTAGATTTGACATTTGACCTTCAATGACCTTCTCAAGGTCAAAAGGGTCTTTTTTCAACTTGCTTCACATTGACTAAATTTTTTTTCAAAATCATCTACATGTTCTCAGAAATTCAAATCTGACTTTAGATTTGACTTTAGATTTGACATTTGACCTTCTAATCTGACTTTAGATTTGACATTTGACCTTCAATGACCTTCTCAAGGTCAAAAAAGGTCAAAAGGTCAAAAAGGTCTGTTTTCAACTTGCTTCAAATTGACTAAAATTTTTTTTAAAAATCATCTACGTGTTCTCAGAAATTCAAATCTGACTTTAGATTTGACTTAAGATTTGACATTTGACATTCAATGACCTTCTCAAAGTCAAAAAAGGTCAAAAAGGTCTTTTTTCAACTTGCTTCAAATTGACTAAATTTTTTTTTCAAAATCATCTACATGTTCTCAGAAATTCAAATCTGACTTTAGATTTGACATTTGACCTTCAATGACCTTCTCAATGTCAAAAAAGGTCAAAAAGGTCTTTTTTCATCTTGCTTCAAATTAACTAAATTTTTTTTTCAAAATCATCTACATGTTCTCAGAAATTCAAATATGACTTTAGATTTGACATTTGACCTTCAATGACCTTCTCAAGGTCGAAAAAGGTCAAAAAGGTCTTTTTTCAACTTGCTTCAAATTGACTTATGTTTTTTTTCAAAATCATCTACATGTTCTCAGAAATTCAAATATGACTTTAGATTTGACATTTGACCTTTAATGACCTTCTCAAGGTCAAAAAGGTCTGTTTTCAACTTGCTTCAAATTGACCAATTTTTTTTTTCAAAATCATCTACATCTTTTCAGAAGTTCAAATTTGACTTTTACAAGTTCTCAGAAGTTCAAATCTGACTTTAGATTTGACCTTCAATGACCTTCTCAAGGTCAAAAAGGTCTTTTTTCAACTTGCTTCAAATTGACTAATTTTTTTTTCAAAATCATCTATATGTTCTCAGAAGTTCAAATCTGACTTTAGATTTGACATTTGACCTTCAATGACCTTTTCAAGGTCAAAAAGTTCTTTTTCAACTTGCTTCAAATTTACTTAATTTTTTTCAAAATCATCTACATGTTCTCAGAAGTTCAAATCTGACTTTACATTTGACATTTGACCTTCAATGACCTTCTCAATGTCAAAAAAAGTCAAAGAGGTATTTTTTCAACTTGCTTCAAATTGACGAATTTTTTGAAAAATCATCTACATGTTCTAAGAAGTTCAAATCAAACCTTCTTAAGGTCAAAAGGTATTTTCCAACTTGCTTTAAATTGACCAAATTGTTTTAGGTGGTGACATTTTGTCATGTTAATGCCTTGTCATATCCAATGTCTTTCCCAGAGTATCATCATATTGATGTGTTTCATGTGAACATGCATGTAAAATCTTCATCTTATAGAAAAAGGTCACATCATGAGATTGTTATGTTCATTGAGGAATGACTTGGGCTTGTATATTGTGGACAAACCATGTTAAGAAGTGTCAGAGGCATGGCTTGGTAGGAGGTAGGAGCAACTGCCTTGTCAAGAAGTTCCAGAACAATATATACTCAGATTTTTATTTCAATTGAAACTGAAAATGAAGTCCCAATATTGTAAATATACAGTGTAGTTATATTGTCAGGTCTCTTGAAAAACATTGATGAATCAAGAGCTTTTAACATTAGAAACCCCTGATTATAACAATATTTTAGGATATACCCTAGATAAGTCCAGATGCAGTGTTAGGAAGACTTCAGTCACTCCATCACGTTCTTGTTGTCAACTGTGTTGAAATATAAATCACACTGTCTAAACACAACAAGCTTTGATCTGGCCATTATGCAAATAGCACCTGACCATGTGTTCTCTACAATGACTTCAAAATGTCACACCTCAGTTAAAGGCCCCATGCAGAGGGAGGTTTTGAGAATGGTTGAACTGAGGGAGGTCATGATTTTCACTGGATACGGTGCCACTAACAAAATATTGTTTTGACAATTGATACTTAGTATTATAAACATAGTTGTTGTCAATAGTCCCTATGTGTGAGTTGTCACATACTTACTCTACTTTAAGTATACTCTATTAAGGGGTTGAAATCAAAAATTTACTTGAACCACCTCCTTCCAACTTGAACTACCTCCTTCCCTCTCGAAATACCCTTTGCATTCGTTTGACTTCACTTCTTAAAAGAGAGCTTCGTCTTCACTCTTTCAAACTAAAATAAACCTGTGAACTCACCGCGCCAATCAGTGTTCGTCGGCCAAATTTGACCGACGTTCTTTATATGGTCATTCCTTCTGACGTCATCGTTAAGCCCGGAATTGACCAATGACATGCGCATATTTAATTAGAACGCATTTGGCGTATGTTTCTTCAAGCTCGCTGATTGGTGGAAGGTCAGCGCGTAGGTCAATAGGTCAAAAGTGATTTACCCAAACTGTCGCCAGTACCCGTCGTGGGGTGGGGCTACTAAACTGTAATATGGTCTCTGCTAGGCAGAGTGTAGTTTAACTAGACTCTGCACGCAGGGTACTCTCGAAACAAAACCTTATTATAGTATGAAGCAAAACCTCATTATAGTATGTTGATTTTTTTAACACCAGGAATAAATCAAAACCAATGGTGTCACAAAATGCAATGGCCTTTTAGCCATATCCGGTTTTTCAACATCATTAATTATAGTTTTGATAAACGCAATGTTTTGACCCGTCCCCTAGGACATTTTAACCTTATTATTATGACTACAGTACATACTGATCTCATATTGTGTCTGGGGTGAACTGAATGAAAAATGAACTTGAAACGAGGATAGAAAAAAGGATATGTTCCAAGAATCATACGTAGTACTTCCTGCATACCTTATGGTACATGTGTACTTTTGTTTTAGTTGTACATCAATCAAAATCATTCTCCTCGGTAAAATGAAAGTAACAAAAGCCAATTTTTGATTTTAAATTGATATAAACATTGAACTTCCTTATTTGACAGACAAATGACAGTTTTCACGATTATATATACTTTGGTTTAACATAACAGTATTACAGTATACATGTATGATTATGTAACTTTTGTGGGAAAATAGAAAATGAGGTTCATTTCATGATTAAATGCCATTTACATAGAGAAAATAGAAAAATATTGTTTGACAACATCACTAGCAAAATTAATGTTGATCAACATGATCCTGAAAATACATTCATTATGTTAATATCTTCAAAAGATAAATATGTGCAAAAGCAAGTTGGAAGTTTTATTACAAAATCATTCAAAAACTTAAACTTGCCTGAAAGTATATTATAACATATGTAAATAACAAGTGTTTTGTATAAATTGTATATACTAGTGTAGTGTAGTGTAGTTTTGTGAAATTTCATTTTGTAATGACTAATATGTCAGGTCATGACATCTAAAGAGTCAATAAAAGATATATATATATATATGTGATTGTGATATCTCAATTAGAATTGTTGCCAACATGAATTATGCAATATATTGACATGACAGAATTATATAACACTTGTAAAAAATGATTTGAACCTTTGACCGAAATATTTGATCATCTGACAGGTTATAAAAACTAAATACAGCATTGTTTACATCGCTGATGTTGATGTTATAGTGATTATTAGGAATCATTAGTTCTATACAAATTCATTTACTTCTACAGCTATGGTATGAGCGTGCCCCAAAGCTTAAGAATATTCATATTTATTTTCTTCATTTATATTCCAGTATACGCCTGAAGGAAATAATCCAAGACAATCAGAATCAAATTAGAATTTTGGTAATCAATATAATTAGACTTATCTCTCTAATCTATTTCTTATTGACCAGAGATGTGTCATCAAAAAATGGACTATAATCTAATCTTTGTCAAAGGAGGGGAAATATTCATCTCATCATTCTACTTAACATAGACCATTATCGAAATGCTTGTAGGAGCAATGCATTATGGGACTGATGTACATCTTTTACTATCTCAGATTCATCATCATGAGCAGTTAAGAAATCAAGAATTCTGGACTCATTTTCAACTGATGGTTAATCCCAGGCAGATTTAATTAATTGAGAGTTGATTTAGTGAATTTCTCAAGGGATTCCAAGCACAAGTGACCAGCTGGATAACTTAATAGATGATTAGATAAATGACCACAATTATCCCTATTAAAATTGAGTGAAAACAAGATAGATTATTGATCATCTGGTGTCATGGATATAATGACACTTCATGTGCAATGACATGTGTTTAATAGTTGCTACAATCTGCTTCTTTGATGAGGTATTTATTCTATAGCTTACTTTATATTCAGATTTAAAAGACAGCAATTAGACCAACAGGGATATTTTCCCTGAGCATTAAGCGTTATTATCAGAATGTTTCCCCATATTTCCATATTGAATATGAGGATTTTGGTATATTC